TGATACACGATATAGCGCAACCCAACCGTGCGAGCACAATGCAGGCATAGCATTTAGTGCATTTCAGGTTGGAATATTCCCAACCAGGTCAGAACCCTAGACCATAGTGCCGACATGCGCAAGGCGCAATGCCTACATTGAGCTCACAAACATGGGTTGCGCTATATCGTGTGTAAGGAAAATAAGAAACTATCTGATGAGTTACCCGATCACTGCGTGGGTAGCATGTTTGCGTCCTACCTGTGAGGGCCCGAGTTCAATTCTCAGTCGATTACATGGATTTACAATGCTGATGGGACCCAAACAGGTCGAAACAGCCATATATAGCTTCATAAAGTTTCATTCCACGCTTCATTTGCTCTGTACACGACGACGTTTAACACATGATATTTAGATGTGTTTACACGACTACGACTCAAGAAAAACGAGCTTGTGTACTACTCAGCTTTTTTGACCCAGTTACAACCAAAACCTTGTGAACCAAGTCGTCAGCTCAGAATCACTACATATGTAAAGAACGCAAGCTTACCTGCAACGCATGTTCTCACGAATCAATCGATGTTTTGAAATCACAGTCGAAATATACGATGCAGGGATTAGCGGTAGACGAACACGCTTCAATAATTCCGGTAGAAGGGCCAGTCGCGACTGAGCCGTTTTAGCTAAGTCAACCGGACCTGCAGACTGAGCGAATGGGAGACACGGATCAGAACTGGATAGAGATCGAGAAACTGCCCAAGTCGCATTCTCCATTGTTAACTCTGGTCCGTTTTTGGTGGGGTCCATCGCACTACAAATGGATCGACTCACATTGTAGTCCGTGTCCGAAACGATTCCTGGCCGATTTTCACCCACGTCGCCATGTTTGCTAACACGATTCTCATACTCAACCCAATCAATGATCAACTCGAAAAGGCGTTCCTCGCTTGAGACGCACAACTCATCCGAATCGAGCAAAGCTAACAGGTCTTCTCCTTCAATTGAAAGAAACGTTTCATTTTGTGAAACGGCATCAAAATGATCAAAGATGTAGTTTTCACAAGCCGCTGCAAGGTTCATGCACATGAAACTTTGAGCGAAACTCCGTACGGTTAGTACGGTCGATGGAGACAATCTGGCGGGCACGGAACAAAAAGAGAGTTCAATAACCATTGTGTTTGGGACACACTGCGAGCGAAAAAGTTGAAAGATCAAATTATATATACGTGCATATATTTTACAATGAGTAGTATATAAGTGACTGGACAAAATTTCCCTGGAAGCACGCGACCGGTTTCGCGGTTCATGTTGCTCGTCGGGCATGCGTATCCGATAATCTTTTGTCTTTTCGTTCATATACAGGTGACAGCAACTGAACCAAAGCACTACCACCCACTCGATTACAATAATCTCAAGATCCACATCCAGGAGGCCTAACGAGAAGTATGTGAGCAAGTCTAATCTGAAAGCCTTCGAAAGTCTAAGTATGGTCGCGTGTGAGGGTCTCGAATTGTCTGTTCAACCCTTCCTTGCAAACTCGCGGAATGCTCCCACGCGACTGAGC